AAAGACGCGAAAAATTATTGAAATATCTATTGCTCCAAGGGTTCAGGGGATCTCGTAGTCGAGCAGTCTCGACTAGAGCTTTCTTGTTTAGTATTATTTTTGATATATCTTTGTAATTCATTAGGTGAGGTTAATATTTATTTATTTTTGATTTACCCTAGCTATTTAGTATTTTTTTAGTATTATTTTCAAGATTTGTATCTTTAGGAAAGTTCTAATTTTATTATTCCTGTTACATCAGCCTTTAAGTATATTTTTAGCAATATTTGCGAGATATAGAGACATCTTTGTAATTCATTGGGAGAGTTCAATATGTATTTATTCCTGTTTTACATCAGCTAATGTGTCTCTAATTACGCTAAGCAATCTCTGCTTCTTCTCTGTCAACGCTTGCCGAATTGATTTTTGTTTTAGTGTAATCTAAAAATGCTGGACAATTTTTAAAGTCAACAGAGTCCCACACGACAACGACAACGTCGACGACGACGACGACGACGACTTCTCTCAGCTGTTTCGATTAATTAGCATCCGTAATTGATGTGCACAAAAGTTTTTAGCAACGAGTTTGCATTTGGGTTTTGTGGGGCGACGAGTTGTATGCTTGGTCCTTTTTGGAATGGACGTGGCCTGGACCGGCAGCTTCAGCTTGAGGCTTCAAGCCTGGGCCGCTGTCCCGTATCCGCATTCATTGAACGTGCCGACTGTCTGACGAGCGACGTGACTTTGCTGCGAATTACTTTTGCTTTGATTTAATGTAATTACAAAAAAATAAAATAAAATAAATAAAATAAAAATTTCTAATAAAATGCAAAACAGAAAAATAAAAGCAAACAAAGTGACGTCGAGTGTCACAGGGATCTGCCCCAGCTCCAGTTGGCCAACATTTTCGAAACTTTTCTTTAATCAGACTTTAATTTGCCATTTCATTCCACTTTGTAGACAATCACTTTTACTGCACGAAATGACCCATACCAAGGTGAAGCCTCAATTCCATTGCCCTCGCAAGGACTGTTCCTATTCGGGTCTCACGCACGAAGGCCTGAAAACCCACATGAAATCCCACTCCCAGGGCCAACACAAATGCCACCACGAGAACTGCAGATATGTGGGCAAAAGTGAGCTGCACTTGAAGCGGTAAGTGCGATAGTTATTATGTCTAAGTATTTATTCATATACGTCTTGAAAAATGCTCAATTGTTGCCAATTATGATTAATTATAATCGATAATCGATAATCGATAATCGATAATCGACTTCAATTTCCATTGGAAATCGTTATTCGATGGGGCGAGGTCGAGACTAACTGCGGATGTCATGTTGCGGCGTTATTACAAATCTACAAAATGCTAATCAGGATTTGCCAATGGAGTCGAGCACAGACAATTGCCAAGTCGCGCAAAATAAACGAGCGACTTTTTCTACACGAATTTGAATTTCTATAAACAAAACAAAAAACAAACTGCAACAAAAAAAAAAAAAGAAAAGCAAAGCAAAACAAACGAACAAGCAAATGGAAATGGCAATAAAAAGAAGCAACAAGAGCAAAAATGTCATCCATAATTGCAGACTTTGAACTGCAATTGCATAAATTGATGAAAGCAACAACAGCAACAACAACATCAATAGCAACAAAAGCCAACAAGAAGCTGTTGAGCTGGCCAATGCCAATCGCAGTCAACGAGGAGCTGCTCGAGGAAGCGCTGAAGGTGCAGGAGGCGGCTGAGAGTCAACCGAGTCGTACCACAAAATCGTGACTTATCGATCGCCTTTGATATGCGCATTGAATTCTTGTAATATTTCCAAGGCTCTCCAATGGCCATTTGAGTATGAAGCGGCAGCAGCAGCAGCAGCAGCTATACCCACCTCCAACTGCAGCTCCAACTCCAACTGCAACTCCCTCTTTCACTCCTCGCAGGCCGGTGCATCGACAGCATCGATCTGCATTCAAGCAGTCAGCAGAGTCTGAGCCAATTGCTGGCATTGCCACTGCCACTGCCACTGCCACTGTTGCTTGCCACTGTGCAGCTGTCCGCCCCATACACACACACACACACACACACACACACGAGAGTTTTTTCGACTTAAACGTGGAGCCTTTGCGAACGCATCGTTGCGATCGCTTTTTGATGGCGGGCACAACTTTGGCATCTTTTGTTCATATGGCACAGAATTTGAATATTTTTATATTGAACAGATTTCAGTGAATTACCCATTGGCCAATTCTACACTACTTGCACTGCTTGACTAACGTATATTAAGCGGCTTTGCACGGCTCATTTTATTTAATCTAAGACAACATTCGAATTGCCGTATAAGTAGCAATAGAAGTAGAAGTAGAAGTAGAAGTAGAAGTAGAAGTAGAAGTAGAAGTAGAAGTAGTAGTAGGAGTAGAAGTAGAAGTAGAAGTAGAAGTAGAAGTAGAAGTAGAAGTAGAAGTAGAAGTAGAAGTAGAAGTAGAAGTAGAAGTAGAAGTAGAAGTAGAAGTAGAAGTAGAAGTAGCAGTAGAAGTAGAAGTAGAAGTAGAAGTAGAGTAGAAGTAGTAGAAGTAAAAGTAAAAGAAGTTGTAGAAATATGAGCATAAGAAAAAGAAGTAAAAGAAAGAAAGTTGTAGTAGAAATATGAGTGTCAATGAAATGTAGACTGATTAATCAGGAACTTAGCGAATACCATTAGCTTAGCAACATTTAAATTATTGGGCTATGTAAATATAATTTAGGATTTGCCATCATGTTAATCAAAAATTAATATTGAAATATTCAAAAGGATTTTTTAGTTAATCATGAATTTAAAAATAAGAATAATATCATTAAATTGATTGTAACAATCTTGGGCTGACCTAGCAAGAATGATACCTTTAATATAAAATCTTTAATTTGCTTAAGCAAATTTTGTCTGCAAATGAAGAATTTGTTATTGGTAATATCTAAATAAGTATTTAGGCTAATACTGACAAATTTTCATATTGAAAATTGAGAGTATGTTTTTCAGTTTAGTTTTAGTATTGTCTCGCTTTCTAAAAATCTGCATAAAACTTGACCAGCTTTACGTTCTCAAGTTCAACTTTTATCTGACTGAACCAAAATAAAGCTGAGTTCATTAAAAACTGTTTGTTTTGCACTGCAAACAGGCAGAAAGAGAGGGATAGAAAGGAAGAGAGGGAGGGAGAGAGCAAGACAGACACTCAGCTGTGATGTGCTTAACTGGCAGTCGAGATCTTCAATTAGCTATCGAAGAAAAAAGAGCGAAAAAAGAGGAAGGAGCGCGGTCTGTGCAGGAATTCAAAGGCTGGCCAAAACGCATCGCAGTTTCGGTCTCGTTTTGGACGTTCGACGCGTTGTCGGCATTGCCGGACGCAGCTCAAAGCGACGCCTGGGCGTGGGCGGGGTTGTGTGTGAAGGGGACAGGGCACAGTGGAAGTTAACTCCTACAACTTGCTGGCAAGCACGAAGCTGCAACTGCAACTGCAACAGCAACAGCAACAGCAACAGCGGCAAACATTACTTGCCGCTAATTAAGCCTACCGAATGCGCATGAGCGCAGTCGGATCGAACCGTGTGCCGGCTGCCCGCTGGCCCCGTTGGCTCCGTTGGCTGTGCCTGAGATTTCACACAGATTCCAATTCGGCAACCACGCAGAACATTGGCAATTAATTGTGAGTCCTCGGTTCGGACAGTAGCTGATAAGGGGAGTGGACAACAACACACCAGCAGCAGCAGCAGCAGCAGGAGAAGGAGAAGGAGCCGCGGCTACAAATGAGCGGCCGGCCTCGATTCGCTTTGCTTCTGGCCCCAGCTACGGGGGGGTGGGGGTGTATGCTTCATCTCGTAAACTCGATTCCGGGCAGCAGGCATCGTAATTGAAGGCGCGTAACTGTGAGCACCCTTCAGTCGTGTATCGCTACGCTGCAGTTGGGCATATGGGTTAGGCGATCAGCGAGAGAAGCGCTAAAAATTATTTAGAATTCAAACTGTGGAATGTGCATAAGAAAGCAAAGTATCCTCAACCATAAATGTATATATAGCTCGATAATGACTGACTTGACGAAAAACATTTCAAGCCGCAATGACCCGACTCGTGTGAGCGATTATTTGTGAATGCGCTTTGCCGCTGTTTACAAAACAGATCTCCATCTGTGCGGCTGGGCATTGGAGGTAGTTGCTACTGCTACCGTTACCGGTACAGATCGGTGGCATCCCAAAAGTCGCTGGCAATGGCAGTGGCACAGCCAAAGCCGCGACTTTGCCAACTTACTCGTATTTCGTATTTTGATTTCGAGCGTGCGATTCGAATGCGAAATTAGCAATTAGTTGTTGGCTGCGTTGCTTGGGCGACAGCCGCCACTGGAATTTAACGTCTAATCAAGCCGAAGATTTTAAATATGGCCTCGCAGTGTACAAACACTTAACAGCTTTCTCACCCGCCCAGCGAATGGCGAATTGACTTTACTCTCTACTCTACTCCTTTGCAGGCACCTCAAATCGCACGCGACTGTTCCGGCGCTGCTTGACGACGGCAAATGGCTCAAATGCGATCAGTGCGGGTTCAGGGCACTGGTCAAAGGTCACCTAGATCGTCACATGCGCAAACATACCGGAGAGAAGCCACACAAATGTCCCCACTGCAGCTTCCGGTGTAGCAGCTTCGACAATCTACGCAAGCATATCACTAAGACGAACAAACACCCGGGCAAGTTCATCTACGAGTGCTCTACCTGTACTACATTCAAGAGCAACAGCTTTAAAGAATTTCAGCAGCACTCGAGCACACATCAAGCGGAAGATCCATGAGGCTACATAAGATAGTAGAAATATTCAAGTTATAAAGATATTTCATTATAAAATATATTATTCACAGCTTAAAATAAGCAAAATATTATTTATGCATCGGCCGGGAATCGAACCCGGGCCGCCCGCGTGGCAGGCGAGCATTCTACCACTGAACCACCGATGCTTATATGGAATTCGTTTCAAAAGTTCCGCACTTAAGCTAGAATTAAACTAAACTTTTATTTCTTATTATTTAAACAATTCTGTTTTTTAATTTTAAATTAAGGGCTAACCCACACCGCATTGATTAAAAAATTATTTACAAAATGAAATGTTTCTCTATGTGTATGAAATGTACAACCCTGGTTTATGTGGAAAAGTAAAATATTTATTAGGAAAAGCATAACTCTGATTACATTTTTGCCAAGTACTCGTGTAATAGTTGTCTAAATAAGAAAATCATATTTATAAGTTATCTACTTAAAGTTATGCTCACATAAAAAAATTAGAGTGCATAGTATAAATAGACGATGATTTTATGGCTAAACCAATAAATGTATAAACAAATTTAACTAAATGTATAAAATACCTGTGTATCTCTAGGAAGTTAATATACATTTAAAACATAAAAAAAAAAAAAAAAATTAAAAAAAAATTACTGATGCATCGGCCGGGAATCGAACCCGGGCCGCCCGCGTGGCAGGCGAGCATTCTACCACTGAACCACCGATGCTTGTGTGACCGGGAAGCCAAAACGAAAAATCGTCATACGCAGAAAGCTAACTAAAACGTGTATTAAAATTCGCAGAAATTAAAAAAAAAAATATATTATCATATCAATATTTACTTGATAAGCAATTTCTTTACAATTCCTAAATTTGAAGTCGTAAAGTAATTGAAACAATAATTTGCTGATAGGGTATAAAAATATAAGTATTCATATTTATGAAATTTGTCATTGATATTAAAGTGCAAAACCTTGAGTCCCCTTTATAATTATTAATATTTTTATTTTAATAACATAATTTACTTGTAACAAAGCACTTTAATTGTAATTTATATGAAAATAAATAAATAAAAAGGGTAAAATGTGCATCGGCCGGGAATCGAACCCGGGCCGCCCGCGTGGCAGGCGAGCATTCTACCACTGAACCACCGATGCTTGCTGCGAGACTAGATCGGACTAGTCTAGCTCTAAGCTATGTGAACTAGAGATATAATTTTAACCAATATTAATAAAATGTTAAGCAGGTGAAGCAGGTTTTGGTCTTTGCAATGAAACTCGAATTACAGTTCATTAAGATGTTTCGTTTATTTCGCCATATACAAGGTGTGTGAATTCATGTCGAGTGTGTGCCATAGCTTGAAACTGACTAAATGACATAATTATATTGTAGTTGTGTAGTGTAGACGCTGCTGATGCTGCTGCTACTGTCGAACAGTTTATCTATTTATATATAAATATATAATTAAATAGCATATTTAAGTGTGTAACAGAGTGCAGTTGGCAAGCAGCCGCACAGAAATTATAGCTAAAAGGATGGTGAAAATCAATTTGCAGCACGTTTGAATTGAAGTCGAATGATTCGCATTTAGGACTGTCCCAGTGGCCAGGAGGCGCCAAAGCCGAAGGTTTGCTTTATGCTGACCCAGTAGTATCGGTACCAGTTATTCTTCATCCCTGTGTACTCGGAGGCGGGAATACCTGTCTGGTGAAGCGTCATCTTTGTGGTTGACGACTGCAAGGCAATAAAATAATTATTAATAAATATATAAAAATATATACTTAACGCGAATACCTAGTTGTGTATATAATTTATAGATCTATGAATAACATGTCTAAAATTCATAAACATTATATATTTCCGTTTTATCAATGTCAAGTGACCTATCTGTCAGTCTATATTAGATTTTCGAAATTGAAATGAAGAACTAGAGGATAATGATGCTTCTTTAAAGTTACACTTAATTTATATACTTGATATTAATCACGATTAGATAACTTATATACCTAACAAAAAATTTTCGAGACAATCTAAGAATAACAAAATGTTTTTCAGTAGACAGTAGTAGCTAAATTTTCTTAGCTGTTATTTATTTAAATATATGATCCATAATATGCCAAAAAACCCCTGAGTGCAGATGAGGAAAATCAATAATCAACAAGTTCCAAGCGAGCAATGAGGTAAATTGAGGAAATTAAATAAAAAAGCTTGACAAAATATATATACTCATATAACTTAATTGCCCTTATTGACAGTTTTGTGAATATTCAGTGCAACTCGGTAGATCGAAATTTGCAATATAAATGAGAAATCGGAACTCAGAAGCAAATTCATATTCGAATTTGCTTGAACGTTTGCTTACTGAAAATTTGGATTCACTGGAAGAAGCGCTGACAAATAAGTTTGATATGAGGCCATTCCAGACAATCGTCACCAAATAAAATTTCTTAGAAAACTAACTGCCGCCTCAACTGGTTTGCAGCCTCTAACAGAATCCGCAAATGGGGTGGAGATCAGGAGAGTCCTCAAAACCAGTTCGCATTTTATTCAAATAAGCTAAACAGCTGGACATCAGAGTTTATCAAATGCTGGCATTGAAATGTGTGTGGGACTTTACCCTTAACTAATGCAAGAAAGATCAAACTCTATAGGGTTTGCTATCCTCATTTGACAATTGACAATGTTTCATTCAGCAATCCCAAATGGAGTTCAGTAACAGATGCTGCCCGAACACAGCTTTTGATTATGTAAAATCTAATTTATACTATATGCAAATATACAACAAAAATAAGTTTTCCAACTTATGAACAGTCAGTGTGTAGTCTATTAGATTTGATTTATCAGATATACTGTATAATAAAATATATTGTTCTTCTTCTCAAAATATGAGGCTAAGAAGGGAATTGTCTTAAAGAAGAAAGCTTAGAGAACACAAGTTTCTCTACATATTTGCATATAGTGTTTTACTTACAGTTTCCTCCAATTCAATGATCACATTCGAGTAGTGGCCAGAGGCCCAGTTTTTCAGACGCCAGCTTTGTTGGATCTTCTTCTCGGGCACCAACTCCTCGAATTTGCCATGCACGTTTCCGCCATACAGCACAAATCTGCGAATTTAAATCGAATGTCATTTGAAATTCTAATTAAGATGAAATTCAAATTTTGATGCTCACTCGCCGCCGCGTACGGCGTCCACTTTGGCGGGCGCACGCGTAAATGCAGTGACCATTTCGGGCTTGGTTAGCGCATTGTAGAGATCATTGGCATTGCAATGAAACTCCTCGGTCATGGTGAGCGAGCGGACGTCCAGCTTGCAACCGACGGGCTTGCTCGTCACATTGTTATTGGAGGAGGATATGGGCGTGGCAGCCGTAGGGATCTGCGCCGCAGCCTTTTGTGCCGCATTCTTAGCATTGTTGACATCCTTGGCCTGGCCTGGCGTGGTTTCGCTGCTATTGGCATCCTTCTTTGGTAGTATCAAGTTCTTGGAATATTCCTCCTTCAGTTCCTTGATGTAGACGCCCAGCTGTTTGCGAATTTGGTCACGGCCCACATTGTACATGAATTGTTTGAGTGTCTCTGACTCGTCGTTGGACTCGTCAATGGTAACCGTTATTTCTACATCTTCCAGATTATTCTCCTCAGACAGATTCGGTATGGTCAGCTTGCCGTTGTGGCTCAGCTTGCTGTTCTTTAGCAGACGGCCGGACCATTTCAGCACTAGCTCCCAATCGTAGAAGAATATCAATTTTCCTTTGCGATTGTTGACGGTCGCCTCACCGGTGCACTCCTCCACTTTATTCACTACGCACTCAATGTCACTTTGAACTGTACGCCGTGCAATGCACAACAGCCGCATGAAATTAAGGTTAGAATTTGCACAGCAATTAGAACACCACAATCATTACCTATTTTGAAGTCAATGAACAACTGTGTCAATCGCTCCTTTGACCAGGGCGTCGCGTTCTTTTCCGTCCAATGCCAATTGTTCACATTAGTTGCGTCGGGTCGCTCCTCAACAATCCAGCGTGGATCACCTTCTCCCCACTTTGCCATGGTGCTGTTGCTGCTTTTATTGCGTGTTTGCTGTATTAAAATGTAACTAATTTTCGCACTCTCTGATCCACGACGTATCGGCACTATTTGCTATACGCTTTATTCTGTTACCTGACGTTGCTTTGTTAACTATGCTAAGAAAATATTTGGAATTTTCTAGAAATCTGGAGTCTAGGGCTGCAAATCTATCGATGGCTGTTACCGATCTATCGATGGAATTTGAATAGTCCGATGGATCGATGGCTTTTTTGCACCATCGATATATTTGTTCTCTTTGCGACATTTCACTGCAAGATTGCAATATGGACAAATTTTTGAATCCGTCAAGTAAGTAATAATAAAAAGCAATGCAAAGTAATTTTTTTGTTAATAATTATTAAATATTAAAGATAAGAGAGAAGCGACCAATGAGCCGAGCATGCCTGGTGCCGATGAGGCGAAAAAGCGAAAGAAGACATCGGAGGTATGGACACATTTTGACAAGTGCCAAAACAAAATCTTCGCCAAGTGCCGCCTTTGCGGCAAAGAATATAAAACAAGTGGCAATACTTCCAATTTGCTGGAGCATTTAAAACGTGCTCATCCAGTTAGATCAAATGAGTCATCTAATTTAAATAAAATAGATCAATTTGTAAAATGCCATGNAAAAAAAACACAAAAACAAACACTTTTGATAATTCAAAACATAAATTTCGAATTATTTAAATGTAAATAATATAAAAATTTGAATAGTTAAGTACTCAAATTTCATGAAATGTTCCCTTTCAGCTTTTTAAATTTTCGATGGAACCATCGATATATTCGATAGTTTTTTCCATCGATGGAGAAAATATCGAGTGGAGCCACCATCGATGGATTTGCAGCCCTACTGGAGTCGCTTCAGTGTCTTTGCAGTCAGCCTGTGTTAGTGAGGAGTGATTTTGCGGTGCGAGACAGTCACGAGATTTTAAGGTAGCGCGTAACAGTTACAGGACAAAGCTTTTGTTTTTGAGGAGTCAATACGGTTTTAGTGGAGCAACTCTGTTAATTGCCGTCGATATCTCTGTTACATTGCTACTTTGTAACAATATTGTATTTATTATACAATGTGAAGTGTAACAAACATAAGATGACAATAAAATACATTATTGACAATTATACATTTTAAAACTGTTAAGTGTAAATACAAGTTGAAATTTTATTTATATATGAGTGCTGTTAACTGAGTGCATTTCTAACAAAGTGGCAACACTTTTGGCTACGATACATCGATTTGGTCATCACTAAGCATCGCTATTCAGTTCATCCCTAGTGGGAAAGAAAAAGGCGAAAGAATTTTTTGTGTTGATTTGTTTATGATAAATTTAATTGCGTTTAATAAATGAAAAAGTTAGCAAATACCTAAAAGTTACAAAATATGTTAAACTAGTGCAACGTGTGTGCGTGTGTGATAACCGTGCCCGCCAAAATGATAAGCGCAATGGACAATTTCGACAACAGATCGTACGGTGCGATATCCAAGGGGCGCAGTGAATTCTCAATGCCAGGTAAACACGACGCAATGGGCAATGAGTAAACAATAAAACAAAGAAGCTCAACCAGACGGTCGACGGCAATAAAGATTAGTTTAAGCTGCAATTGAAGTGAAATTGTGTGAATGCTAAATGCAAATTGTGTGCGAGTGGGGCGAAGAGGCCAAATGAAAAGTGTGGAAGCAACAAGCGACGCTGATTGTAGGCGTGTGCGTGACGAGTGTGGATGTGTGGCTGTGTGTGTATATGTTTGTGTGTCTATTAAACTGGCCTTCAATTGAATTAATCCCGTAATGCGGCATTAAACTAATAAAACAATTAATACATCTACACAGCGTGTTGTTAAATAGCCACAGCATCAAAAAAGCAACAACAATACATGCGCACAATTGTGATATTTGTATTGATTTGTCAGTATCTTCTGTCTCGCTCGTACGCATACGTATGCTGGCAGTGCAGCTTATACATATGTGCATGGAAAATAATGTGTGTGTGCGTGCGTGTGCTTGTGGGTGTGTATTGTTTACGTGCGCTTGGCTCGTGTGTCTGTGTGTGTGTGTAAGTGGAATGTCGCTGTTCCAATTAACCAAATCAACAGCAGCAGCAACACCAACAACAAAAGCAAACGAATGCTTAAGAATTATGTTTTATTATTGCAGAGTTGACACCGGAGCAGCAAAAGCTGGTGATTGAGCTGCGCAGAAAAAAACAGGAGCTTTTACTGGAGATACAGGTATGTTAAAAAAAATATACTCATTTCTTATCTCTTCACCGTCATCATTCTCCCTCCGTCTCTCTCACCTTTGGCAATTGCAAATGTCAAAAGCACCCAACGAGGGCATCGCCGCACCTGCTCTTCCCCTTTAAGTCGCGTTTTCGTTCTCGTTTCCATTTTCTTCCATCTGTTCGTTATGGCTAATTAGTTTGCTCACATTTTGCCACGTCTAATTTGCTAGTTGGAGTTTATTTTGTTGTTAAATTTATTTGATAGTTTTTAATGACTTTGGTGCTTCTCTTTCTCTCATTATTCTGCTGTCCAATATTCCCATTGGCATTCTATGCCAACGACAACGACAACGCCAAAGGCAATGGCAACAATGCAAGCATCAATAAAAAGTGCCGTTAACTTGAAGTGTGCCCAGCTTTTGAACTTTTCGTTGACATTAGCTTATTGTATTGTTGCTTTTGTTGTTCTGGACAAAACAACGTGAGAGCAACTGTATTTGGCGGCATCAAAAAGCAACTGTAAACAAAACTGACAACAGGAGCGCATTCTCGGGTAGTTTTAGTTTTATACTAATAAAAGCGAAACTAATGTGATGAATGCTGAATAGTGATGAAATATTATCATATTTAACTAAATTGCTTAAATTCAGTAAAGGTATAGTTATTATTTAATTATTGTTTTTTCTTCGTCTATGTTGATTTATACCAAAACTCTCATTCAAACTCTAATTTCAAATAGGCCCATTTAAGTATTTACCTGCGTGCTGCTCGTGTGCGGCCGCATGCAAAAATTCGCAAAAGACGCTGCGCTCTTCAATCACAGCTCGCTCACACCGTCGCTTAGTCATCGATGACGTTTCGAGCGGCAGACACCACAGACCAAAGACCGACCGACTGACGGACAGGCAGACAGATATCAGACAGACAAACACCGACTGCCGATATATGAGACGCAGTGCGTTCAAAATCGGAATCGAATACGATATTGTCTAAATAAATTAATTTCGCTTGTTAATTGTTCTTTGTTATAATTACTTAATTAAGATCGTGCGTGTCAAATTAAGAATAGAGACCTTCTCATAGAGTGAAAACGTGAGCAGAGTTGGATGTATGTTTGTCGCTGTCGTCGCTGCAATTGCTATCGTGCTATGTACAAGTTTCTGTATCGCAAAATCGTAAACAAAACCAAAACTAAGGTGAGTCTTCCCTCAACTGACTCACAAAATCATATTCACGTTGCTTATCGCAAAATAACTGAATGAATGAATGCGGCCATGTGATAACCTGAAAGCCATTCGCAATTGTTGAGCAGGTTAGGAAATATGTACATTCCTGCAGTCTTATCAATTTAATAAGCAACAAATGTTTAATCTTTAAATGGAAATAATCGAAAAGATATATGTATGTTGTATATTTGCAAGAGTTACTCTATATAAATTGTATATGAAAGCTATATGAAAACTAATAATGGAAATTAAATTGAGATCAACATTTAGTCTGGTGTTTAATATTGAAATATTGATTTTTCTTAAATTGTGTACAAATTTTTAATTATATTATGATAGAAAACAAATTTTAAAATGTATTCTAAGTGAACATTTACAAATTACTCCGATCCTATATCTCTTTGTTAAACGATTTCCTATTAAATTAAGTGCATATATTCGAATATAAATAAATTAAATACTGTCAAAGCATTTTTCAGAGCCACAGGTAGCTTACCTGCATATTATAATCCGTCTCATCTGCTCGTCATGCCAGATCATAATTCGCTATTCGCGTAGTTTTCCTGCCAACTGCTTGAAAATTTCCATTATTCAGATTTATATTACGCATAATTTTGTGCTCAATTTCTTGGGTATTTTATGACACCTACCCGACCCTCAGCGCTTGCTGTGTGTTGATCCTGTTTCGCTGGCTTCTGTCCGCGATCCTCTTGTTTACCTGTGCTTCCACTTACCGCAATGCATAAATAATCGCAGCCCTCCTCCTCTTCACTTCATTTTGTTGACTGCCAGCGAAGGGTTTTTATTTCAATTTTTTGGCAATTAGTCGAGTTCAGATTTCGGGTTAAGTTGCGTTCCTTTTTTATTTACTTTTATTTATTTCTTTCTCTGTGTTTTTTCTTGGTTGAGGTCTGCCCAACCCTCTTTTTATACATTTTTGTCTCGTGCTTGGGATATTTTTGTTTGCTTTTGATATGCCCGCACGGCGATGGCAGTCGTGGTGCCAGAGGTTGTTGTTGTAACAATAATAAATGAAATATGACACGTGGTATATTATTAATTACTTCAAGCGTGCGTTTAATTAACGAACATCTGGTCTATTGGGAAGAATTCTAAAACACTTTTCATTCATTTCTATATTGCATATGTATCTTTGTAGTTAGTTAGCTAACTTAACATTAAAAAAGCTAAATGAGCATCTCTGTTGATCGAGAACATTTTCTTTTTCAGCCTATAATTATGCTCTATAATTGTTTAGAAGAAGAATAAATAAATAAACAATAAGAGTTCAGCTTTCAGTATTTGATATATGTATGTATGTATGCACATTTAAATGTAAATATTTGCTTAATGTAATACAAACATATATAAACTTATACAACGTCTCCATTTTAACTGCCGTCTCTGCTATCAATAATATCACTATAAAGAATAATTGAAAATTTATACATTTATCTCTACATCAAATTTGCGCTTGTTCATCTTTATATTTTTACTTGATGATTAAATTGCAACTTCCGTCTCCATCAATTTTATTAAATGCCAAGAAATTCCTGAAAAATAATTCAATATTTGCAATTGAATTTGCGCAGATGCTTCATATGAATCATTCTCAAGTGTCGCCTATCACAATCGCAAGTCGGTCAAGTATATATGTATGTGTGCGTAAATGAGTATTTGTGTGCGTGCTTGTGAGCTCCTTAAGTGTTTGATAATAATTGAGTCGGGTATAATGGACTACGTAATATATAAAAAAATAAAAACAGTAAAATAAATGAAATTTTCTATGTCAAACTATTTCAGGTAGTTTATATATAAACTTACGATTTCTATTAATATATACTATGTATATGTATTAATATATCTATAAACATCTGAAACCGTTTCGTGTCGCTTATCATTCAGACAAACCACAACGCAGTTTCAGAATAAAAGTTATATATACCCTATATATTATTTGATAACAGAGTATCATAATATGAATTAGTTGCGCCGGCATAATTAACATTACCAGGGGTGACGATCAAACGTCATTCAATGGCTCTCTTTCTGGTCCACTCTCTCCCTATCTCCTTCTCTCTCTCTCTCTCTCTCTGTTCCTCTCTTATTCTCGTTTTTCTCAATCTCCACTAGCAGCTGATAAGATAAGGGGGCTAGATTTTTGCGGTCTCTTCTCTGTGCTTCCTCTATCCTTCTCCCTCGCTCACTCTCTCTTTCTGCCGCTGTTGGCTTCACAGCAGCTGAACTTCTGGCCGTTGGCCGTTATCATAATAAGAAATCCCGCGCGTATCACGTTGTCGTACAATGATGAACTGTCATTAAGTTGCTCGCAGAAATGCTGATAGAAGCTTTTGGCACTTAAGTGTATCAAATTTTTAATACGCTGATGTCAAAGATCCGTTGCCAATAGGTTGTTCGCTTCACTGCGATTTTGTTGTTGATACTTTCGATTATTCTTTTCTTTTAATTGCTTACCCTTTAGTCATCGTGTG